GGAATGCTTTACTTTCAGCTTCTATTACTTAACTTTACGCATCGAGAACGAGAGAGCAGAAGACGTATAAAAGAGAGTACTCGGTGATATACATTTTTTTCATAACGCTGACGGTCAGAGAACATTCGAGAACAACCATCGACGCAGTGACTGATCGAAGCAAAGAAATCTTAAGATCGAGTTTTAAGAAATTTTTTAAATAATAGAAATATTTCTGCAAAATATCTATTAAAATAAATTTCAAACAAGACACACAATTAAGTTTGTTAATAAATAAAGTAAGTTATTTGAAATAGATTTTTTTTTTTAACAAGCTCTTCGTTATTAATAATTTTTACAAAACTGCGTATTGTGTTATCGGATTGTTTTCCGGCCGAAGTCGTACGAGACTCGTCATCACGTAGACGAATTTGCGAATTTCAAAGGTTGAAAATATACGATTCGCGGAAGCGGAATCAGACGGAAGATCAAAGAAATACGGTAATACTGTTCGGCATTGTTCGCTGACGCGCGTGATCGTGGCGCGATTGCATATGACGCATGAAAGGGTAATGATTTCTAGGCAATTCGCGGACAATCATCAAATAAAAAAAAAAAAAATCATTTATTGTTTTGACAAATAATATAAATATAATATACTCACGGGGGGCGAAGTTTCTATCCATCACTCAGCTCTTCATGATGCTCTTTCGACGTGTGAATTTAACTCTTTCGCTGAGAACGACGTGTAAAGAAAGATTTTAAAGCCTGGAAATACGGCAAAAGATCGCAGAATATTGAAATTACTATGTTTTTTTGACAGCAAAATAATTCTTGCGAACTGCGAATGTCATGTATATACAATTACTATATCTTTCATATCGTAAAATAAATAATCATATTTTTGCATATTATAATAAATTCTTTAAGTTTATCAAATGTAAATTTTTTTGTCGCAAAAACAAGTCTCAACGCGAAAGAGTGAAATTAACGCGTCTTAGCTGCAATCTTTTCCAAAATAGTGGCCGTTCCGTAATCTTAACCACGATCACAGACTCTAATTAGCATCTGTCGGAGCCCCGAATTTTGATAACAAAACAAATCCTCCCTTCCATCGATCCGCTCCACCGAAAGATCGCGATCTCTTCAAGCATCAATTTGTTATATTCACCGAGCGGCGACTTCGTTCCTTCGAAGCGTTTCGGCGAAGTCCCGGTCGAACCGCGAAGGCCGTCCCTGGGGATCCTCGATCGATCCTGCCGCGATGTCCTCGCTGGCATCTGCTACCAGGGTGCAACCAGGGTCATCCGACCGGCCGTCGTCATTCGGCCTTGATAACCGCCGATGGTGCTGCCGTCACGTTCTGGCCGAAGGCAGGACACTCCTCGCTACCGAGCAGACCTGGTTCCGTCTTCGGGGTCGGACCGTCCGCGCACCGATTGTGGGTCTTGAGGTGCCTGGTGATCATGTCCCTGCGGCAGGCCGCGTACGCGCACTGCGGACACTTGTATGGTTTCTCGCCTGTGTGGGTCCGCTGGTGGGTGCTGAGGTGATCGGATCTGCTAAACACTTGCCGGCAGACCCGGCACGTGTACGGCTTGACGCCAGTGTGCAATCTCATATGCCTGGTCAGCATGTCGGATCTGGCGAAGCTCCTCTGACACACGTCGCACAGGTACGCCTTCGCCGAGGCATCGTGGAGGCCCTGCCGACGATGCCTAGACGCCATGTGTTTCGCCAGACGATCGTGTAGACTGAACATTTGCCCGCACTCGGGACACACGTAAGCCACATCCGTGCCCGGTGCCATTTCCTCCACGACGGGCAAAACCTCCAGGTTGTACCGTACAGCGACGCTCTCCTTTGTCGTGGGTGACGCAACGTCGCCCCTCACGACGGGCACGTTTACAGCACCTCGCGTCACGACACCGGGTGGTAGAAGCTGAAGAGCCGGCGACATGGCGGAAGCCGCCGCTGTCGCCGCGGCGGCTGCGGCGGATTGCAACGTAAGATTCTTCATGGAGAGATCTAATGGCGATTCCTGGGGACTCGTACCGTCACTCTCGAGGGAACCGCTTCGCGGTGGATGACTGATGACAGAGGACGACGAGGAGCAAGTAGTCGAGGCGGTCACCCTCGTGTCGTCCCATCTAGGCACCACGTCCGAGTCAGAATGGCTGCGTCCACGGAAGGTGTCGCCCGATGACGACGATGGCGTCAGGTACTTATTATGCATATACTGCTCGAATATGCTGTACGTGCCGCATATACTGCTATAAGACGCGAAACTGGATCGCGATAGCGGTGTCTGCAGAGACGTCGCCGTCGGCAGCATTATCGTCGTCGCCGCCGCTGCCGCAGCCGCCGCCGACGCAGCCAGCGACTGCGAGCACTGGCTGCACATGCAGTCGGGATACTTGGGCGTCGACAACCGATGGTTGTTCTGGTAGGGCGAATAACGGTGCCGATGATGATGATGATGATGGTGGTACGAGTACGAGCGATACGGTCGATGGTGGGGATGATGGTGATGCTGTTGACCGGCTTCGTGGAGTTCCTCCTCGGTCGACGTCACCGATTCCGCGTCCTTCAACCTCAGTGGCAGCTGACTGATCACCGGAGTGGTATCCGCGGCGGATCGCGACGACGACGATCTAGGCGAGCCGAACACGTCCTCCTCCTCCGACACGGGACCGCTGCCCTCGAATCTCAACACTTCGCCCTCGGACGGCGAGCTTCGGTGAGCTTGCAATGTATCCACGACCTGTTCCAGTCGTCTCCGTTTCTTGCGGGGGTTCCGATGGTTACGGTTGGCCGTCGCCGCGAGGGTGTTGTTGTTCGTGCAGGAGGGCGGTGGTGGCTTGGCCGGACCCGGGGGCGCGGCTGCGGCGTCCTCCACGGCGCTCTCGGCCATCGTCATCGAGGATGCGCGGCACCCGCCGCCTGGGCCCCTTATGCCACCTACGACACCCTCGGCTACCACCGTACTACCTCCCACCTCGTCCTGAAACAATCCAAATGACGATGATGCGATTATTCGAAGATGTCTTGTATTAGCATCCTCGAATTTTTTTAAACCTTGCACACATTTAAACAGTATACGACACTGAAGATGACACTGAAACAGTGCACGTGCGATGATTTGAGATTAGCTTAAGTCATTGCACATGTACATACCAGTGCTTCATTATCTGTATAAACTGCTTAAAAATTGAATTGCACTCATAAATTCCACAGCTTATATATAGATATGTACATATATATGATTTCGATTACGCACAAATTAAGTTTCGCGAAAAATAGCTCCCGATTATATGTTATAATGAAGAGATTTGAACGTCGATGGATTACATGGTATTTTTAGTAACGTTGTTATTAACAACACTGGTTTGCTAATGATAGTAATTCACATATCATGGCGACATTTATATGCGTGAAGTTGAGACTCGCATGTGCTAATAACCCATGACTTCGTAATTATACATGATGTTATTTACGACTGTAGAATCAACTGTAGCTGCAATATAGATAATGATAACGGTGTAACAATAAAATTCGGTAAGATCACGTTTAATATAATCGCCACTTACAAGCAATTTTCATTACTGAATAACGAATAAATCAAAATTTCTGAAGTATGTTATGTGCTTTGCTAAGCTATCATAAACGTAAGAAAAATTATTAGGAGGTTAGTATAAAATTGCAGAATTGTGTCGTAAAATATGAAACAGAAAGAGAGAATAGAATTTATTATACATTTTACAACGGAAACTTTTTTCGTGAAAAGTTATATAAAGTTAGTTTATGTGTATCTATACTACTATTATCATAGAATATTATCCATGTTAAAACTGAACAGGTTAACGAGTAACGTCAAAAAATGAAATACGCCGAGAATTTATCGTGAACGTCGCTACCGTCAAAACTTTCAAAGACCGTGTTGACATCGTTATTGTGAAAGCAACGAAAACGATCGTTTGCATAGAATCTCGTCGTTTTACCGATCCGAAAAGAACAGGTAATCGGCGTGCGAAGGCAACAGGTGTAGAGGCTCGTCTCGGAATGAATGTCAGTCGTGGCGGTAACGGAGACCTCCTAGGGGGACGGCAGGGACGATAAAAAAGCGCCAAGCTGTCGTAACGAGACGCGATTAGAATATTCGTCGCGTTTTTGCGCCGCGATATCGGCCGGCCATTTGTCATTAGCGGCACGGCCGCCATTAAGAGACGAGGAGAGACGATCGCCTCTCGGCGAGATCGCGCTCGATGCTGGACCGGAGCCGATTTTATCGCGGCCGCGCAGATTCGGCTAACGGAACTTTTTTTTTCTCCCAACATTCTCGATAAAGGAATCTCGCCCACTTTGTAAACAGGCAGCATCGACGACGAGCGTTGCCGAGGAAATTAATTAATAATATAAACAGAAGAGATCTATCATGGGTTAATTAATTCAAATATCCATTAAATCGCCACTGCGAGAGTGGAGAAAAAAACTGCGTCTCTTTGACAATTTGCGATAAGCGAGCGACACGTAAATAATGATACGCCGTATCCTTCATTGGATAAAATTCTCGCCGGAGTCCCAATTCCCACGAAATGATAAACGAGAAGAAGCGGTGTGTGTCACGAGAGTTTTTTTTAGCATTTATTTTAACATTTATTTTTAGCATTTATTATTTTACCGATGTGGACCACACTCTGTTCGTCTTGTTCGATGTGACAACGGCACTTTGTCATAAGACTGCGCGCGGTGTAACTCGAGAGATGTATCTGCTGAATATTTGAAATTTAAATCGCCTGCGAGCACGAATGTATGAATCAACGGACAGACAACCGATGACTGGCGTTTAATTCGGTGTCCTTTTCCATTTTTTTTTTTTTTTTCCAACGGCGTGGGCGAAATTTCGTTAAAGCGCGTGTCTAGTGCTTTAATCTCGCAATACTCTATTATCGATTATCTGCGGCTCTTTTATGAGCGTAAAGTTAACAGAATTCTAAAGATTAGGCGTAGTGATTAATTATCTGAGACGCGACGCTATTTAGTCTCATACATCAAAGACAATTAATTATATTTATATAAGATATATCAAATGATAATAATTATAATAATGTATATATACAATACACATTATTATAATCATTTTATCTGATATATCTTGGACCTCTTAATGTATGTTTTTGCAAAAATGATG